CTCGAGGACGAGCGATATAAATTGCTCCTATAACCGAACCAAAAATTTTTTTTAACATAGACGTGTAGATAATCATTTTGCATTGACCTGATTATTCGTTGGGATTACATATACATTTCCGACACCATTACGCAAACGCAAAATAATGACATAAGTCGACATAACCATATTCAAATTGAAAACCTCTTAAATAAAAACTCGATAAACATATTCATCATATGAACCCAATCTACCACGAGATAGTAAGGGAACTCTTCACACTTCTCAAGATCAGCAACCATGTTGACAAGCTCGGCCTACAACCAGTTCAGCCACAAGCTCCATCCAACTCTCATCTCTCCCGCGACAGTTTCAAACAGACTACATCTAACTCCTATCCAGACCGATGTATATAAACAATGTCAATCACTCGATGATCAAACAAACCATAAACGACTCTATAAAATTAGATTAAATTCACATTTCAATCACGAAAGAACTGAGATCAAACGCACAACGCAAAATTTCTTGCATTATCTCGCCATCAAATGGAAAACGACATTGCGAAATCATCAAGGAAAAACTGGCTCGATCTCATGTTGCTTCAAATGGTAAAATGCCTCTCTTTTCTTTAAATTTTTCGTCTCACTTAAAGAACTGGGGGGACAAATGTTGATACCAGATTTAGCACTAAATCCATCCCGCCAAAAGAATAAGAAAACCGTTCAATGACTATCTCGAGATGAGCTTAAAGGCCCATGAGGACTTGTGCTGCGACGTCGGCCCATAGAGCTCGAGGTTCTTTGGGTGAAGAATGAGTTAAAGAACCAAAGGCTTGTTCTCCACATATCTTGGATGTCCTGAAAAAGAGGAGCACGTGCAACAAACCAGAGCTTCCTGAGACTTCATGTTCTCGTGTCTGCCCCTCCCCCTACCACAAGTTTTATGGTTGGTTTTAATTGCACAGTGAATGGCTATTGTAAACGTCAAAGAGGCTTGAGGCAAAGCGATTCGTTATCCCCCTATCTCTTTATAATTGCAATGAACTGCCTCTCTCGTATGCTCAACAAGGTAGCAGCAGACAACAAGCTAAAATACCATTCTAAATGCCAGAAGACAAAGTTAACTCACTTTTCATTCACTGATGATCTCTTGATCTTCATTTACGGTTCCATAGAGTCAGTACAACAAGTTCTTCAAGTCCTCCATGAGTTTGAATCACGTTTTGGTCTAGCTGTGAGCCTTTAGAAGACCACCTTTTTTGCTTCCGGCATGGGACAAGCTGAGATTGATTTGTTTCAGGCTTTTACAGGTATGGGTTGTGGCGCACCACCATTCTGATACCTAGGTGTTCCTCTCAACTCTAGGAAACTATATCTGTCTAGCTGTGAAACCCTCCTACAATAGGTCAAAGCGAAATTTAATTTGGCCAGTCAAGACTCTATCTTTCTCTGGTCAGTTTCTTTCTATTCAGGTAGTCATCTCGGGAATTACCTTTTTTTGGTGCTGTTCTTTCATCCTACTGAAGGCGTGTATCAACGAAATCAACTCCCTTTGTAGCACCTTCTTGTGGAATGGGGACATAGAATCTCAAAACCGGCCAGAGTTGCTTCGGGCAAGGTGACGTTGACAAAGAAGCAAGGAGATCTAAAGGTTAAGGACCTTCAAACTTGGAATAAGGCATGTTGTGTGTGCTTAATATGGTTTCTTTTTTTCAAGCCTGATTTGGTATGGGTCTCTTATTTCAAGGTAGTTATTCTCAAAGGTTCAGTTCACAACTATTGGACAACTAAACCCAACCAGTCTTTCTCTTGGCTAGCAAATCCCTTATATATTAATTGAAAAACATTTAAAAAGATGTAATTTTAAGTTTGTATTAATTAAAAAATAACTTCATCCTACATGGCAGTTCTCTATGCCTTCTAATTCAATTTCGAAGGATTCTATAGCATTTTATATAAACTATAATTAAAAAATTATACTCTCTACCAATATAATATTTCGCATACTATAGTTATTCGCAAATATCAAATATTTATTGTTTCGCAGGCTTTCCTTAAATAAAACATACGGAATTAACTAATGTGATTAAAATATATATATGGAAATTAATGATTTTAAACAATAAAGATTTGATAACAATCTATATACTTTTTATCATTTTGTTTATTTCTTTATTATTAAAATTAATTACACAATTACATTATTCATTAATAAAAATCTAGATTTTCTTTTGTGTATGATGTATTTCGAATTTTTCAAAACGAGTATAAATTATTAAAACTGTTAAAAGTCTCACATAACCTTTTATGATCAAGGTTTAAATATTTTTTCTATAGTAAGATACAATTATTATAAGAGCATATGAAGAAATAATTTTATTTTAATATGTGTTAATGATTTTGAATAATAAAGATTTGATAACAATCTGTATACTTTTTATCATTTTTTATTTTTTTATTATTAAAATAAATGACACAATTACATTAATCATTAGTAAAAATCTAGATTAGTTTTTGTGCATGATGTATTTCGAATTTTTCAAAACGAGAATAAATTACTAAAACTGTTAAAAATCTCACATAAGCTTTTATAATCAAAGTTTAAATTTTTTTCTATATTAAGATACAATTATTATAAGAGCATATGAAGAAATAATTTTATTTTAATAGGTTTTATGTTAATATATATATATATATATATATTTCATATCGTTTAGAATTAACTATACATTGTATGAAAATACATACTAATTTTTGATACTTGCATTGAACATATATTGAAAAGTTAATATTTTAATTGTAAAATCTGTCATTGTTTTTTTTAAAGATTATAAGTTATTGAAATTACTAAATATCTCACATTAAAAAAGATCGTTGGTGTAAAATTTTGTTATACAAATATGTAAATAATCATAAAATCATATGAGTAGAAACCTCATTTAATAAATATACATATTAAAAGTATGCTATATATCTATATTAATATCATTGAAATTTAATTATATATCATATATGATAGATAAGATTGACTATTTTGATTTATTTACTCTAATTGCGAATAAACAAGAGTGACCGATAGATTTATATGCACACTCCAATTTATTACATAATAGTGACTGATTTCTTAGTTATTTAATATATATACTTATTATTTTATTATTTCATAAGATGCAGAAAAACATAAAATAAATAATAAATATAAAATACTTATTCTGTAAAAAGTGCAGATCTTAACTTAAGTATGTATCATTTTAATTATTTTAAATCTTAATCATTATCTAAATCTTAGGCCAAAACAAGCAAACGAAATGAGAATAAACTTTAAAATTAATATTTATATCGAACAATAACCAAAATGAAAAAAGACAAAAAAAGAAAAATATTGAAGATATATAGGATTGACACGTGAGCGTAGACTTCTCATAACCATAATTAATTTTTAATTTGTGAAATCATGATATAAAACCGAGCTGACATAGTTTATTGTAACCAAATAGACCCAAAATTTTTTGACCTAAACGTTAGATTCTTTGCGGTAAGTGATATTTTGACCTAAAACATTTTTAAAAATGAGATCAGGTCAATTATGTAATTAACAAAAAAAAATTTAAAAAAAAAATTGTTTCAGACCAAAATATTAATTCAATCAAGAGTATAGATTTATTTTTCCATATCATATTTTTAAAATAATTTTTATATAAATTTATACCTAGTAAACTATTAAAATGAAAAGTGTTGTGTAGTGTGTACCCTCTCATTCGCCTCAGCTTGCAGAATGGTGTAATGGCAAGGTTCTGGTTCGACAACTGGAGTCCACTAGGTTGTCTCTATGACTATTTACTTACACGCTTCAAACTCCAGGATAGGGATCCCATTGAATGCAATTGTTGCCCCTCTCTGTATGAATGGTTCGTGGTCTCTTCCCCCTGCAAGAACGGAACGTCAACTCCAAGTGCTTTCATTCCTAACAACAGCCAACCTAAACGTTCCGCTGATTAGTATGTTTGGGAAATCAATGGTAAGATCTCTAACAGGTATGCTACAGGTGAAGTATATCATAACCTGTGTGGTAGTATTGACAAGAAGCAGTGGTCTTTGATGGTATGGTCTCCCAAAATCATCCCAAGGCATTCGTTCCATGCTTGGCTTGTCGTTTTGGACAGGATTCCAACAAGAGACCGCTTGATTGGTTGGGGATTACAAGTGGATTATCTCTATCTGCAACTCACTGCCAGAAGAAATCATATTTATATGGACTGTTTTTTTCAGCTTCGATCTAGGATGCTAGCACCTGCTAGATGTCATCTACCTATACTTTGGAGGTGGTCGGACCTCTTGAGTCAGATGATCATTTTGCCTCCTCCAAAATCAAGAATATTTCTCACTCTCTTGGCTTGGGGGCGAAGCTAGAGAATATATTCAATGGGTGCATTATTAGTAATAAACTTTAAAAATGTATGAAAAAAATTTGAACTCAAGATCATACGGGTGCATAGGCTGAGTTTTGCCATCTATTTCACCAAAATTTCAATGTTTTTGTGTTAAAAATTGTGATAATCAATATAATCATGGGTGCACTTGCCACCACTCCTTATAAGGTGGCTTCGCCCATGGAACTCGGTTATGTACTGGCTATGGAAAGAAAAGAACTTTCGCTTGCATGTAAATACCTTCGCTATTGTAGATTCTCTCTTTAGAGCTATTTATAAATCAGGAATCGGATCCAGAGTTTTAGAGAAGCAAGTCCCATACTCCCGTCCAAAATGATCCAACTATGGCTAGTGTGTTTGGCTCATCGTCTTCGATTTAAATTTCATCAACCGTCCTCTCTTTCTCTGTCGTTTCCACTCCAACTACATCTCTGGATCTTGAGCTTTCGATTAATTTATTTTTCACATTGGGTTCTGAATCACTAAGATTCTTTAACTGGCCTTTAATGTTCAAAAAACAAAAAACGTTTGTTATACTCGTCTTCTCCTCTTTTTGTCAACATGTAATTACAGTCTTCACAAATGATACTTGACGAAGAAAAATAAGGTTTATGGATGATTATCAACATGACGAACTGAAAAGGTGTAGCAAAGAAACACGTTTGATTTTCATTTATTCAGCTTAACAATTCATACATATTTAGTTCCTAGGCTCATTTTGCCTGTGGGTGGGAAGCAATAAACTCAACAGCAAGATCGATGGATTGTATCTTATCTGCTTCATTATCAGGTATCTCGAATCCAAACTCTTCTTCGAGTGCCATAACCACCTCCACTGTGTCCAAACTATCCAACCCTAGATCATTCTGGAAGTGTGCCTTTGGTGTCACCTGCAACAACGCGTATCAGACATAGTTTAAAGATCAAATCAAACAAATTCTGCTTCATCAGATTCTTGTCCACACAGAGAAAAAACGCACAAAAGAAGACAAATTTAGACTTTGGCGAATAAAGCAAAGGCATATAAGCAGATACATGTAGTAACAATTAAGAAAAGATCAACTCCTACTAAACATCAGATCTATCACAATGTAATGCAGCAAAACAAAATCGATTTTCTTCACTGTTGTCGATGCAATCGAAAATCCATCTAAGTGGGGTTTCAAATCGGTGATGGAAGAAGAACTCAAGTTCGAAATTACCTTGGAAGGCTCTACTTTCTGAAAATTTTTGACAACAGAGACAACACGATCTGTGACTTCGGATTTGTCAAGGAATGATCCTCTGACTTCCTCGGAGAAATGACAACGAAGAATAACGGAAAAGGGAGCTACGCCTCGATGAGAAGTGATGCTGGAGCTTCGGTGAGTAGGCGTGACATTGACTCTGAGGTACCTAAGTAGAGCATTTCTCGTCGCCATTCTTGCTACAAAAAATGAACCCTAGAACCTTCCTGTCTTTCGTCTATAATATGAATGCCAAATGACGTCGTATAGTCTTTAGCATTGGACTCTTTTGGGTATGTCTGAATCCGAAGCCCATTACGAAATGGTAGGCACCACAGATTCTTTTTACAAATCCCCTTTGTAGACACCCAAAACTCCAAGTCAAATACAAAACCAATCTTTTTTTTTTTTTTACATTTCATTTGTCTAATTTACCCTAAAATTTCTGATTATTTACAAAAATATCATTATTTTTATTTAACTTTTTTTGAAAATGAGTGTTTTATTCTTTCATCCTCATCTTTATCAACTAATCATGAAAATGCCACTACCATCAATTCACCCAACAACTATGAACAACTAAAATGAAGCTCTTAATGTATCTAAAAATAAAATTTACTCATTCATTCTCATAACTTATTCCCAAAAACTATATCTCCCTCAGTTCTAGCTTTATTCATCCAAAAAATCCAATTTTTTTGCTTCCAAAGTTTTGAAGGGTCATATAGCCATTCAAGCTCACGATTTATGGTCGTTAAAGATTGAGTAGTTGTTCTGGTGACGTTGTGTGTGCTTGGAGAACTAAGCAAGATCTCTCAGTGGTTGTTGAAGGTATAAATTATTATTTTTTTCCCAAATTTTTTCGCTAGAAGACTTAACTGTAAGTCTTCGTAAGTCTTCTTAGAATTCTTCTGGTCAAAAAAATAGGTTATTTTTCATTTGACTTTCTGTGTTTTTTTTAGAAAAGACTATAGTGGAAACTTTTGAATTTTCTTTGTTGGTAAAAAAAATTGAGAAGACTTACCTGGAAGTCTTCTCGGATAAATAGGTTAGTTTTGCAATTGACCAATCTGTATCAGAAATTTGACTTCTACGGAAGACTTCCAGGCGCCGGAAGACTTACCTGGAAATCTCTCAACCTTCACATTAAGTCTACTGAAGTCTGCGTAGATTACTTTTGCAATTGAAAATAAACTTAAAACATTTAATTTAAACTGGGAGACTTCCAGGTAATCTCCAAGACGGAAGACATACCTTGAAGTCTTCTAGATAAGTCTTCTGCCAGAAAACTTATCTAGAAGTCTTCCAGATTTTTATTCCATGATTCTGGTCAAACCTAAGGTAATCAAAGAAGACTTACATGTAAGTCTCTCAACAAAAATCAAATATAGTCAATTGCAAAAGTAACTTATGCAGACTTCAGTAGACTTAATGTAAAGGTTGAGAAGACTTCCAGGTAAGTCTTCTCGCATAAGACTTACCTGAAAGTCTTCTGTAGAAATTAAATTTCTGACGCATATTGGTCAATTGCAAAACTAACATGTTTATCCGAGAAGACTTATTGGAAGTCTTCTCAAGTATTATCGAGAATTTTTGTATTAGAAAAATAAGCAAATATTTACATAGGAAGACTTTCAGAGAAGTCTCCTATAGAGGAGACTTCTCTGAAAGTCTCCTTTGCAAATTTTCAATTGCAAAAGTGATCTAAACGGAACACTTATCTAGAAGTCTTCTATAAGAAGACTTACCTGAAAGTCTTCTACGACAATGTATAATAAACTTTCATTTTCTTCATGTTTAAATTGAATTATTAAGATTTTATTGCTAATTCATGTGTTATAGACAATATTTGGGGTCCTAAATAACATCCATCACTTAACTGGTGATAATTATGAGATTACCAACATTTATGTTTTTTAATTTTTCTACCTAATGATAAAAGACTTCCAAAGAATTCTTCTCTCATAAGACTTCTATGAAAATTTTCCACATTAGTTTTTGTAAACTTGTATTTCTAAGAATGTTCAGTAATTTAAAATAAGTTTTTTAACTTTCAAAAGTGTTAAATAATTTCAAGAAGTATATAATGTGTACATGAAAATGAAATTGGAAGAGTTAACCAACTCATTGTATCTTACTTTTTATAATTATAAAATTTATTGGTTTTATTTCTTACAAGACTTTGTTGGTTTTACTTCTTAGAAGTTTAAAGTGATGAACAACTATTGTTAGTTAATGAAAAAAAGTTGTTTATAGTTACAAATTTATATTTTTTTTTGCAGAGTATGGGAGATTCAAAGATGAGAAGAACTACACAATGAACATCATTTTTTGAATCTGAAGGCCAATAAAGTTTTTTATTTCCTTGATTTGTAAAAGTGGAAAATACATTGTTAGCACATATCTTATATCTTGTTTACTTTAATATTGTGAAGTAATTTTGGATAATAAACATATTTACCATATTTTTTATTAATATTTTTTTTTTAAATTTGCAAAAAAAATCACAAGTAAATAGTAGACATACAAATCCTAAAACAGACGACAAATAAAACTTTATATATCATTCCTCCGCAAAGACAATCTTGGACTCTACTTGATATGACAGAAGATTTCCAAGAAGACTTAAGACTACGCCAGAAGACTTAAGATTATGCTATAAGACTTAAGACTACCTCAGAAGAGTTAAGACTACGCCAGAAGACTAATTAAGACTACGCTAGAAGACTTAAGACGGCGTCAGAAGACTTAAGACGAAGTCAAAAGACTTAAGACGACATTAGAAGACTTCCAGAAAAGTCTTCTGAACGTCTTCTGTAAGTCTTCCGATGTCTGTCTCAGATCTAAAAAACCTATATATCCAAAAACGTTCAAATGACATCAAAGAGAGAAAAAAATCAAAAACAATGGTTTTAAGCTTAAATAATATATAAAACAATCACATTATACTGAATCTATAACTTATTAGAATCTAACATATAAAAAACACAAAAATACATATAATTTTTTTTATAGATCTACCCTTAAATGAGGGAAAGATGATAACTATGTAATGAAAAATCTTGTAAAACAAAATAAAATAGTGAGAAACACATAAAATGAGAAATTGATATAATTTTTGGTGTTTTCATGTTTAAAAAGATCAAAAAGAGGTTGGGGAATTTTAGTTTGAAAAAAAATAAAAACTTTATGCAACAATAGAATACTTAAGACGACGTCAGAAGACTTAAGACAGCATCAGAAGACTTAAAACGACGTCAGAAGACGTCCAGAAAAGTCTTTTGTAAGTCTTCCAGTGTATACCTCAGATCTGAAAGAACCTGCATATCCAAAAACATTCAAATGACACCAAAACAGGGAAAAACTTGAAAAAAAACAATGTTTTAAGCTTAAATAATAACTAAAACAATTAAATTATGTTGAATCTATAACTTATTAGAATCTAATATATAAAAGACACAAAAATACATATCAAAATTTATAAATCTACCTTTAAATGAGTGAAAGATGACATCTATGTAATGAAAAACCTACAAAACAAAATAAAATATTGAGAAACACATACAAATGAGAAATTGATATAGTGTTTGGTGTTATCAAATTCAAATAGTTTAGAGATAGGTTAGAGAATTTTAGAGTTAGAAATATTATATTTTTGTTGCCTCCATTTGAGATGAAGAAAGAGAATATGTAAATTTTTATTTCTGTAGGAAGAAAAAATTACAATTAGGTTAAATATTTTCTATACAGAATACTTTAGAAGAATTTAGAAGACCTTACAAGAATTGTCACCCAGAAGACTTACTTTGAAGACTTACTATTCGCCCAGAAGACTTACTATTTGAGCGGGAAATAGTAAACTATGGAAGAATTAAGAAGACTTTGAAAGACCTACGGAAATACTTTAAGTAGGTCTTCGAATGTCTTCCAAAGTTTTGACTTTGGAAGACTTACTGGAAACCTTTAAGTATGTCTTCTGAGGTCTTCCAGTTGGTCTTCCAAAGTCTTCTTAAGTCTTCTAGATTATCATGACTAACTTACATTCACGCATCTATGTTGAGAACAAATCAATTTTATTAAGTCTAAATTTATATCACTTACAAATTTCTATAATTAGATGATTATGATTTTTCCCCTATGAAAATAATTTTTATGAAATTTATAAATTATTTTAAGAACTAATACAGTCGAAGACTTTACCTAGAAGACTTTAAACGACTTTCCCTAGAAGATTTTAGAAGATATTGGAAAATTTTATTTTAAGCGGGAAAACTAAATTTTCTTAGAATTTTAAGCGGGAAACCTAAATTTTGAGCGGAAAATTTTATTAAGTCTTCATAAGTCTTCCGAAACCCCAAAAAAAAAAAAATATATATATATATATATAAATAAATCACATACAAAGAATTTATTAAACTTAAATTAAACTTATAAAATATTTAATTTACATATAACTAAAATCTATTTTTTTTAAAAAAATGTTAAGATTCCACAATATAACCCTAAAACACACATACAATACTACAACATAGTTACCAAACCCTAAACCAAATAATATCATTCTTTGTTATATTCACTCATCTATGTTGAAATTTATTTTTATTTTATGAAGTCTAAATTTATATTACTTACAAATGTCTATAATTAGATGATTATGATTTTTCCCAATCAAAATATTTTTTTATAAAATTTATAAATTATTTTAAGAACTAATACGCTAGAAGATTTTCTCTTGAAGACTTTAGAAGACTTTCCGTGGAAGACTTTATAAGACATTTAAATACTTAATTTTAAGCGGGAAACCTAAATATTTTTAGAATTATAAGCGGAAAACTTTTTGAGCGGTAAACTGTTATTAAGTATTCATAAGATTTCCAAAATCCCAAAATCAAAGAGGTCAAAAATATATAACTAAATCATATAAAAAATATTATCAAACTAAATTAAACTTATAAAGTGTTTAATTTACACAAAACTAAACACATATAGCTAAATTTTACTTTTTTAAAAAAATGTTAAGATTCCACAATCTAACCCTAAAAACACATAAAATACTACAACATAGTTACCAAATCCTAAACCAAAAAATATCTTGACAAACTTATATTCACTCATCTATTTTGAAAACTATTCAGTTTTACTAAATCTATATTTACATCATTTTTAAATGTCAATAATTACATGACTAGGATTTTTTACTAACCAAAATAGTTTTTCTTAAATTTATAAATTA